CGTATATGATGATATCGGATATCGATGTGTTTCGTCCTCTGATGAAACTCTGGGTTTTTCGCTAACTTTATAGCACTCTGGTTATCTACACACAACTTTGTGGCGCTATTACATCGATGTCCGATATCTTCTAACAGCCTTCGGAGCCACTTGGCTTCTTTCGCGGCGGACGATGCGGCGACGTATTCGGACTCCGTGGTACTTAGTGTTACCATCTTTTGCCGACGCGACGACCATGTGACAGGTCCGTTAGCAAAAATAAATAAATAGCCGGTTGTCGACCTTCTCGTTTCCAAATCTCCAGCGTAGTCCGCATCGGAGAAACCGACCAAATTCCAGTTGCTTCCGCCGCCTCGATATTCGATCCCTAACTCTACCGTTTCAACGAGATAGGCGAGAATTCTTTTCACAGCGCGCCAATGACTTACGTCGTGATTATTAAGGAATTTACTTGCGTTATTTACCGCGAACGCGATATCCGGTCGCGACACAATAGCTACAAACATAAGCGAGCCCACCGCCTCGCGATATGGCACACTGCTTACATTTTCGCTTGCTTCTACTGGGCGCAAAATTGTGTGAGGATCCGCTGGAACACTCACCGCCTTCGCCTCGTTCATGCCGAATCTGTCGAGTATTCGTTTAATGTACGCGGTCTGGTGAATAAACAGTGACTTTCGTACCCTATCGCGATTTATTTGTAAACCTACGAAACAGCTTCCATCGCTTTGCGTGATTTCGAACTCGTTACTCAATAACGCCGTTATTCGCTTTATAACTTCTCCGGATTTGCACGCGATAAGCCCGTCATCCACAAACAACGCGAAATACACGATTTCGTTATCGTAACAGCCGGTATAAACGCATTTATCCGCACTAGTTTCCGCAAAATCGAATCTTTTCAAGAAGCTACTGAACTTCTTGTTCCAGCACCGAGGTGCTTGCTTTAAGCCGTATAACGACTTGTTCAGACAACACACTACATTGATGGTGCTGTTTACACACTTTCCGTCGAATCCCTTTGGAATCTTCATGTGAATCTCCTCGTCGAGACTGCCATACAGGAACGCCGTTTTTACGTCAAACTGTGCGAGTTCAAGGTCTTCCTGAGCGACGAGTGCCAACATCAGACGTATTGAGTCGTATCTCACTACCGGTGAGAACGTCTCAGTGTAGTCGATATCTTCTCTTTGTAGAAAGCCTCTTGCACATAACCGAGCTTTGTAACGATATACTTGTCCAGTCGTATCTCGCATCTTCTTGAAAACCCACTTCGAGTCAATTGTTTTCTTATCGACTTCCTTCGGAACGATGTTCCACGTGTTATTCTTCTCGTGAGCTTTGAGCTCCTCATGGATTGCCTCAGTCCATCTTACAGAGTCTTCTCCGCTGATTGCCTCTTCGTAACTAGCAGGAGAATCGTACTGAGCTAGGTTAAGCTCGTACTCCTGGTCGTATCGCACTGGTCGTCTTATTAACTCGCGGTTTCGCAGTCGGTAAGGCTCTTCAGGTAATCGCTGTGGCTCGACGCTGTCATGATTTTCGAGCTCTTCATTACTGACCTCTGGTTCCGCCGATATCTCTTCCTGTCCTTGTTCCTCGTCGTTTGCACTGGATCCGCCTATCGAAAACGTCAGGTCTTCGTTTTCGCTTTTGACCGTGGACGATTCATCTTTGTTTTGTCTCTCGTTGAACACCACATTTCTCGACACTGTTACAGTCCTAGTCTCAGGGTTGTACAACCTGTAGTTGGAAGAGCTTCCTTCGTAACCTACTAGCAACATCTTCTTCGACCTCGCGTCGAATTTCTTCGTGAATTGCTTGGGTACGTGTACAAAAGCTTCCGATCCGAACACTCTCACATGGCTTAGATCTGGTTTTTCTCCTGTCCAGAGTTCGTACGGTGTTTTTGTTCTTCTTCTTTCCGACACTCGATTTTGAATGTAAACAGCCGTATTTACCGCTTCCGCCCACAACAACGTCGGTAAATTCTTCGCTTTTAGCATCGTACGCGCACACTCAACAATCGTTCGGTTGTCCCGCTCAGACTTGCCGTTCTGTTCTGGCGTGTACGGCGCACTCGGCTCGAATTTGATTCCGCGCGACGACAAATACTGCTTAACCTTCTCGTTGTCGTACTCCCGGCCGTTATCGGAGCGCAATGTTTTCATTGGCCTCCCGAATTTGTTCGCGATCAGCCTCTCAAACTCTTTCAGTCGTTCGAACACGTCCGACTTATGTTTCAAGAAGTATACGTATCGGAACCCGGAAGTATCGTCTATAAAAATCACAAAATACCGCGCACCTCCCGGAGACATCTCGGACATGGGCCCACATAAGTCACTGTGTATGAGTTCACCCGGCTTTGTGCACACTTCCTTGTCTGCTGTTTTGAAAGGTAACCTGTGTGCCTTACCAAACTGACACGCATCACAGAAAAAGTCTTTTTCGTTGACGATTTTCACTCCTTTAATGAGTTGCTTGTTTACGAGATCACATAATGCACGTTTATTTAAATGTCCTAAGCGTTCGTGCCAGACCTTCAAACTCGTCATTGTCACGTTCACTTCGCCCACATTTTGTGCATCTTTGACGCGAAAAAACATTCGGAATAGTTCGTTCGACTGCTTGACTCCAGTCGCCACGATTTCATTTTTTTCTATCAACATTACGCCGTCACTTGCGAATCTTACTTCAATGCCTCTTGAAGTACACACACCGACGGAAAACAAGTTACTGCGCACTTTCGGCACATAGAGCACATTTTCCATGCGCGCCTCGCGCCACACGCCGTTGACGAGCCTCTCGATGATTATAGTTCCTTCGCCTGACACCTCGCACACGCCGTCGTTTCCGACCGATACCGTTGTGCCTTTTTGCGGACGGAACTCGATAAACCATTCGCGCCGAAACGTGATGTGTCTTGAAGCACCACTGTCTGTGTACCAAATATCTTTCTTATCCAGTTGCAACCACTGATTTTTGAACTCCTCAGGCACTCCACTGTACCGATTCGATTTTCGACTGTTTGCTACACTTCCTGAACTTTCAACAACAAACACGCTTCCTCGCGACTCGCTTTCGTCACTGGCGGCCTTCTTTTGTTTTCACGTCGGGCAATCGCGCGCGTAATGCCCCTTTTCTTGACAACAATAACACTCGACGTCTTTCTTTTTCTTCTCGCGCCGTGCGTTTTCCCCACTTTTTCCTTTCGAGTCTCCTTTTTGCTTCGAACCGCCAGCCTTCTCCTTGGTGATCCGCATCGCTGCAAACGCCGTGATTTCTTCCTTTTCAGCTTCCAAACGACTTTCCTCGTTGATAAGTCGTTCTTGCAGGTACTCTACGGTTTGTCGAGCAGGATCGACGCTGTCTCACGCTGTCTGAAGAGTGCTGAATTTCGAAGTTAGACTCGACAAGATTTTCGCCATAACTGTCAAATCGGACACATTTTCTCCGAGATCAAGAAGCTGCCTCGCCATATTCTGAACCTTCGCTACGTGCTGTACGACCGAGTCCGTCGCTCCCATTCGATATTCGTGGAAGCGTTTCATTAATACGAGCTTGTTCGCTGCTGAATTCTGCTGGTGAATTCTCGCGAGTGTATCCCACATTTCCTTGCCTGTGGCACAAACTAACAGACTCTCTAGTTGCTTGTGCTCCATTGCTCTCGAAATGAGGTACATCGCTTTGGCGTTGTCTTTCACCCACGCCTTCATAAGCTCCTCTTCAGCTGCTGCCGGTCTTACGTTCGTACCGTCTACGATCTCGTAAATACCGCAAGCTCTCAAAGCCGCTTCCATTTGGAATTTCCAGCCGAGGAAGTTTGTTCCATCGAACTTTGGCACGTGTCCCACAGAAAATTCGTCCGGCATCTTCCTTCTTTTCTTTCACAAAATGGCCGACCGATCTTTGCCTCGTGTTCCTATGTCTAGCAGATTTTCAGCGCACTGTAACCGTCCCTGGGCCCATAACCTGTTAAGGCTAAATCTTGATGATTTCTTTAGATGGAGGAACAGTAAACGAGACAGAGTCTAACTTTTATGTTTGCTTTGAATATTTATTAAGAAAAAAAATGCGACGCTTGCACCAAACGTGCTACACGGTCGACTCGAGACTTAAGGGCCGCCGCACACAAAATTCCGTAACAATAACCAGAAGACGTGAACTTAAGCAGATAAGCCAATCAGGATATAGCTTTAGATCTACGTAATCAAACGGAAACAGAAATAGCCGTAAACTTATTCATTAGGCGAATTTCAACCGGTCGAAATTTCTACGTAACGTTACGTGCAGATAATTAATTTAGTATTAATATACGTCAATTTATTAATGTGCAATGTGCATCATTTAATTTATTTTTAAAACGGAAAATGTTAATAGAAATTTACTCGAAAGTAAAAGTGAGGTTATTTGCTATATATTTACAAAAAAAATATTAGGTGTAGTAATAATATGTATATTATTTACTAATATGTATATTATTTATTTTGAATGTTTTTATTTTGTGTGTAGTATCGAATATATGGAATATATGGTCATATGGAATATTAAAAAGTGATAAGCTTCTTTGCTGTTGTAAAGGTATTTATATACTTTTATTATAACATTCTTCAAGAGGAAGGTCAGAGAGAGGAAGGCGTTTAAATCCGAATTCCTGTAGCCGTGTATTTGGGTAAGTTTCGTATTTAAAGGATTAACTTAGGTTATTGAGGTTATTTGAAAGACTAACTTTAAAAAATAAGTATATAATTTATTTTTCTAGCAATGGATGATATATGGGATGATTGTAATTTTCTTCTAACAATTGCCTTGTGGTCTGGGTTATTCGTTATTTTGAAAAGAAAACGATATAAACAGAGAAATTTTGGGTGAGGCCTATAAATGAAAATCGATGTCAACAAGGAGACTTTGCTGCTTTATTTCAAGAATTAAAAGATGACAGTGAAATGTTTTTTAAATATACAAGAATGACACAAGAGTGCTTTTATATTTTGTTAGAAATGGTATCTCCAAAACTTGAAAAACATAACTGGAGAGCTCTACCACCTGAACTACGCTTATCTTTAACACTCAGGTATATGGTTTTTAATATTCTGTATTTATTTCTGCTATATACATATATTCTGTATATAGTTCTGGTATATGTATTTTATGCAATTGAACATATTTTTGAAAAAATATTTGTAATCGATAAAAACATTCATTATATATACATATATATATATATATATATA